AGATGCTTAATCACTTCCAACATTTTTGGCCCGTGATCTAGAGCTACCATGGTCTGCTATATGAATTTAGATAAACATTAGAGTGAACAGATTATATGCACGCACAACTTTTTACACAGATTATAAATTACTATATTATATATACACACTATATAACTTTATATATACTATAATATTATTATTATACATCCCTGGTACAACAACTGTCATATTTTCTAATATGGTATACATGCGAAGTGAAAGAGCAAAAAGAAAAGTTTAAAATATTTTCCACACAAGCAATTATTCTAGCTAGCAATCATGGTTCTTCAAGTGGCACTGGAAATCGACAGGACCCTTGCAGATATAAACTGGCGAGACAGAGGGAAGAAAAGACATTGCAAAACTTACACTGGGAAGATGACATTAAAGACTGCAGGAACAGGGAAGAAGGGACAAAAAGTAGATATTTCATCACAGCCTCCTGCTTCTAGACTGGCTTCTAAATCAGAAAAGTCTAATTCCAGGACCAGCAAATGAAAGGCTTTATAAAGTTACTTTGCAGTGCAGCAAAATAGGAGTTTAATTTGTTTACAATAACTAGTCTCATTATTCTCTACATTAGCAGATTCCAGCTTTCAGCTGAAAAAAAGGTTAATGAAAAAATCATTGGTCTCGAGTCCCCTGGGACTTGATTGGGAACATTTCCAGAAAATTAGATTGAAACAAAAGGCAATGGAGTAGATTAACTAAGATTGGATTTCCCAGAGAAAAACAAAATAAAACCAGACTGAGTCTTTTTCATCTTTCCCTAAGAAAAAATTGCCAAGACTCCCAGTGATTTCCTGGCAGACTTTTGGAGAAGTTCATGCTGGCAATCTGCTTCAGCTCAACTTCACAAAATTCTGATGCAGATTACTGCTTTCAGGGTGACCTTCAGCCAAGTGTGGAGAAGGCAGGTCTGCAGAGGCATGAGATTTTCCTGTTGGGTAGAGGGGTCTTTATAGAAAATACAGAAATCAAAAAGGAAAGAAGAAAATACTACATTTTAGTTCAAAAAACAGAGTTCTGTCTTCTCTCCGACCTAATGTCTGATTGGAAAACAAGACAACTGAAATGACGCTGCTTAGTGCCCTGACTCAAAACTCACTGTGTGAACACCGCAGATCTTCTCATCTTCCTGTACTAGAAGACTGTTAAAAATCAGTATTCTCAGCACCTCTCCTTCTCAAGCATTAAGCTTTTGTTCAGGGATAGAGTGTCTCACTAATCTAAAACTTGAAGTTACACTGTAAAGGGGTGAGAGAAGAATCCTCCCAAACCTCTTTTCTAAAAAGAAAAAACAAACCTTCTTGTCCTTGCACCACTGCGAGTCAGAGTAAGTGGCAGGGACTATACCTTTAAAACAAACAAAAAAGAAGCAAACATGCAAAAAGCTTATTGGAAAGCTTATTTAATTCCACCCCTCTATTGGCAGAAAATATTCTAATTCTCAACCTAGTTAAAAAGCTGCTCTAGATTAGAAATCTCATGTGAAATTAAAATAATTCTCTGTAACTTCCAACAAGCAGCAGAAGTTCAGTGGAAAACAGGCATACAAAATTTCTCAGTCATCAATACAAACTTGTGTGGGAACATGCAACTCCTGCTAGTTTTATTCTTTTCAACCTTTTTTTTTTTTTTTTTCAGTGATGGTGAGGGAGTAGAAGAAGAAAAAACCTGCTTACTGCAAAAATTTGTGTCTTCATAGCAAAAAGCATCACTAATTTTGTACTGTGCAGCAGGGCAGTCCCAGCCAGCTTCACCGTATTCACAGTTATGAAGCCAACATGCACGCAAATAGCAATATTTACACATTACTTCCAGTGTCCTCATTTTAATGAAGGACATAAAAAAAAGTAATGCATAATCCAAAGCTTGGTGCAACCCTCAGGAAATATTACGTCATAAATTATATGAATTGGGACCATTAAAGTGAACGCTAACTTACTCTATAACATCACATATTGTTATTCATGAAAAATACTGCGAAAGCTTTATTTACCTCAGGGTCAAGCAGAGGCAAGTTAAGATCAAACGGATTAAAAGTAAATTTAATAAATACTTGTGAAGAGAGTTAAATCCACCTTTGCACAAAATGCCCTATTACTAAGCATTGTGAAGCTTGGAAATTTGAGCACAAACGGCAAAAATTGGTCTGTGACTAGGAACTCACATGGAGCCACAAGGTCACTGCAAACTCAAATGCAGGAGAGGACTATGAACAAAGCTTAAGTGTTGTTTTTAAATTTATTTTATTTTAAAAAAATGACGACTGGCTAAGACAGGGCTTTGCCACGGTGCTACAGTCTGTATGCCGAGCGACCTACCCACTTCACAGGCAGTAAGACTTGCCAGAGCTGATCCCAGTGTGGGAAAGCACATTGGGTTCTCAGCTAAAAGGTTGTTCACGGGACAGGAATCCTTGATTGTACCAGAACAGTTATGGTTTTGCTTCCAAGTTAAACTTTGTACTAAAAAAAAAAAAAAAAAAAAAAAAAAGAGTTGGGTACAGGTATAACATTACCTGTACCTAAAAAACCTAAACTCAAGTGCAACACTAGGACTTAGCCATATAGGTCTTCACCATTTTAAAAAAAACCCAAAAAAATCTATCTTAACTGCCCACTTAATAGAAATACAGAAGGAGGCAAAGCAACAAACCATCTCTTCATCTACCCAACACAGGAACCACACCTCCTACTTGAAGTTGATGTCCACCTGCCACATCAAGATAGGAACAATCTGCCCTCACTAGGAATTCACATCATATTATTGTGTAATTATCATGTGTGTGTGTAGGTTTTATTAACAGAGACAAGGCTTCTGACCCCATGCAGGTTTCATTCTAAAATAATCACACATTCTGCAATAAAAAAAGCTACTTAATGTTGCCCCTAGATATTTTCCCTTTAGAACTGAAATCACTGATATCCCAATCATTTTGCATTCTCACTGCAATAAAACACCTTACTGCAAACACAGCACTAAAACAGACCTGGTAACTTTGTGCTCAGACTCAAACATCCTAAAAATAGCTATTATTACAAATTTCCAGTCAGTGCCAGAGTATACTCAAAGCCAGGAAGTTATTCAACCCTTATTACCATTTTGCTCTCCCCTGCAGTCAGTTTTGCTGCATTTCAACATCATCCGGTTCTGAAGTGCTGAATAAAGACAAGGCAGTGAGTCTCACAAAGCACCCAGATACCAGCTTCTCAAGAGGAAAAACAAAAAAGCAACAGAAGGCATGTATTTCTCAAGCTACAAGGCAAAGATGGAAAACTGCTTAACGAAGGCCGGCTCAGATGTTTTTAAAACTAATGGTGTTACACAGCAGTTGTCGCCTCCTGGTATCTGAGAAGTAGGAGAATCAAATCCGGAGCCTGCCAGTGCGTCCCTAACCTTCCCACCGCGAGAGCTACCGCAGGTCACAGAATCCCAGAATCATCTCGGTTGGAAAAGCCCTTGAAGCTCCTCCAGCCCAACCATGAACCTCACCCTGACCGTTCCCAACTCCCCCAGATCCCTCAGCACTGGGTCAACCCGACTCTTCAACCCCTCCAGGGATGGGGACTCCCCCCCTGCCCTGGGCAGCCCATTCCAACGCCCAACAGCCCCTTCTGCA